CCTCTTACAAAACGAATCAGACATCAGTTTGAGGCGTGGAAGAAGAACAAGAAGAATGTGGAAAAGAAGGGAAAAAGATGAAGGAGATCGACGGCTAAGATGAATGCAGATCGACTGGAGGAAAACAATAAAAAAAAGAGAAAAGTAAAAAAAAAACATAAGATGGTGGGCAACAAAAAGATTGAGAGGGAGATCAGTCATCAGAAGGGGACGCAGCAGGCAATAATGGGAGCTCAATCATACAACGGCTTACTCCTAAATTTGGACAGGAATATGGGACATGATGTAACTTAGTTATATGCAACAGGGAAATGATTCCAATAGCTAATAATTAAGACATGATCAAGTCGGATACGAGGAGAAGAAGGGGTGGGGGAAATATTCTACGAGTAACGACTCCCTATTCCCATGATACGACCGCATGAACGATAGTTGTTCCCTCTAAGGGGGTGTTTGTTTCAAATCCTATAATTTTAGGATATGAATTTCACCGTGGGATTTTAAATCCATAGGCGTTTTCTTATGGGTTGTGATTTCTAAAATGTTGTTTGTTTCATTAATATTTTGGGATTTGAAACACTACAACTTGTAATATTTTGTTTGTTTCAAGCTCAAGTTGTAACATTACCAAATGTTAGAATTTTGTAATATGATGAATATGCTATCTTGGTGAGGTTACCTCCCACAAAAAGACAAAATTGGAATATGTCAAATCCTCTCCAATTGAGAGGTAAGCACGCCCACTTATGAGATTTGTCAATATATCCTCTCCAATTGAGAGAATTTGGCAAAAAATGGCCACTTTTTACACATTTGGGATTCAATATTCTAAAAATTTTCTTAAAACAAACACCATAGATGGAATCCCAAAATACAAAAAACTCACTTTTTGATCACAAAACTTGTAATCCATACCAAATGCCAAAATTTTTGGTGAAACAAACACCACCTAATCAAATTTGGCATCGGCATACGTGCATAAAAGATGACTTTATGGCCGCATAAGGTAATTTTCAAATATAACACTAAAATAAAGAAAAATAAGGCTTCATAAAGAGAGAAAAAAAAAAGAATTCCACTAGGATGCAGCGATGAACTTAACAGAGAAATAATAAGACAAGAAAAAAAGCAAGGCATCTATTTTAGCTCACAAATGACACCAACGGGCATGTATTGTGACAATCTACAAACCATTAATTGAAGCTGTGATGGCACTAATTGGGTTTTACAAGTAAATACATTACACCAAAGAAAAACTCAACTAATAAAGGAGGGGGGAAAGAACTAAACATATAGTATAAATTCCAAGACCTGATCGAGGAGATCTAATCAGCATATAAACCACAAAAAAAAAACCCTGTAAATGGACAACATAAATTTGAAAATACGGTATTCTATACAAGGAGAATAATATGTACATAAGAGAAAACAGAAAACATAATCAAGAGTGTACGGATAATTCAGTGAACAACTGAAACCAGAAACCCAATTATGGAGCACCGTAGAGGTATCCAAATAAGAGAATTTCAATCACCACATAAATCCTACAGTAAAACTCAATATGCTGATGCATTCTGATATAAAAACTTTAATCAAGTGGATTCCATGAAAAGCATGAGGAAAATGCCACCAAAAGTTAACATCCACAAATATCAATAATAGAAACTGCAGACATAGAAAAGAATTAGATTACTCAAGGATTAATGTGACACTAGAAAGTAGACTCACATAAAGATTACAACAACAACAACAAAAGAAAACAGATTAATTTTAAAAATCAAGACCTGAATCTCTTCATGCCAGCTTTACCATCTGACCTCAAAGAAGAATCTCCATCAGAGGAAGCCTCCATGGATTTAGAGAATGAGCTTGAGAGGTCTCCATACAGATCGACGACCCTTCGAATGTTGCTGTTGAGCTCCCTGATGAGTCCTACATTTCTACTGAGATTGTCAGGGATTTTAGACTCATGATTTTGATTTATCTCATTGATCAACAGCCTGTTTTGATCAAGAATGGTTTGAACTTGCACAAAGTTCTTCTGAAAGCTTTGAAGAACTTTGGTGTCCACTTGGGTTCCATTGCGTAATCCTGAGAATGTATCTCCCTCCATTCCCCCCAATTTCTCCTCCTTTCTATTCAATTGCGATCAAAATTGTCCTGCATAGGGGGGAAATGCAAAGAAAAATCAAGCAAAATTTTACATTTAACAGTCGCGGACTCGCTCATACTATTAAAGGCTCTAAAAGAACAAAATTTAGCCAACAAAGCATCAAAAGGAAGATGACGTTTAGCTAAAAACAAAGGGAAAAAAAAGGAATAATGTAATGAAATACATGAAAATTTGGGGAACATGAAATTTGATGAGAACATGGTACCTGGTATCCATCATCATATCAATCTAAATACACTTAAAAGACTAATTAAGTTGAAACAAAATTGAGAGGGGTAGAAAAATACCAAGGAGAGAGAAGAAGAAATCACTTATTAGCTTGAAATCCAAGCTACCAAAAGGAGAAGAAGAGCTTTAGAAGACAAGGTAGAAATTTATTTGGTACCCATCAAACATACTTTGATGACATTGAGATGACTAGTGGGGCAAAAAGTAAACAGTATACATGCAGAGAGAGAGAGAGAGAGAGAGAGAGAGAGAGAGGAATATATTGGAGATGTGCAAGGCATGAGAGACAAAGACTGAGGAGAAATCATGGCTACCCATAGATGACAAAGAGGAAGATTTTTAATATGATAATTGGTACAAAAAGCTGATCCAATTCCATAAAAAGAATCGTTTTTTCACCTTTTAGATTAAGCCCACATCAAAAAACTCAATATCTGGAGAACTCCACAGAGATGAGAAGAAAGCTAACCCATGTACTAACTAACAAAAAGAACAAGGGAAAAAAAACAAAGTTTTTCTACGAACGATAAAAAAATCTTAGAAAAGAAAATTTGTGTAAAAAAGGGGGAACTTTTGGTCCTCGGAATAGGACAGAAATGGTAGCTCATATGTTCAATTGTACGAGAAAAATCCCACAAGAGTTCCTAAAATAGAAAACAGCAAAGATTAGATTTTGATACAAAATACTTTGAGATCCTAGAAAATAACGAAAACCCAACTGGGGAGAAGACCAAAGGTAAGATTCTGGATAATTTTTGGATCAGATTACAAGGAGGGAAAGAAAAGGTCTCCGATATCAACGCACAATTGTAATATTTTAATTTGTGAGGGGCTTACCTCCGAAATCCGGAAGATTTACATGGATCCAGAGAAAGAGGGGAAATCAATTGGGAAGTCGAAGAAGCCCTCGATTCATCGCCCGATTAAAACCAGAAAGTTTTGAGGAGAGAGAAGGAATAAATAGATTTGACAATCAGAGCTGGACTTTTTTTCTCTCTGAAAAGGGGAGTTTTTTAATGGAAGTTCAAATGTGTCGTATTAACCTCTTACATTTTTTTTATTTACGAATCACACCCCAATGATAAAAATGACCTGCACGTGTAAGGACTTCGCTCAGGTATCAATCGGAATATCCGATGATTTCTGTCGTTTCTTTGTTTTCGGGTTTGATGGAGGGATGCTGCTTTTTTTCGTCTCTCCAGAAATGCTTCGCTGCAATTTTAGTTTCCGCCGTGTAATCACTGTAATCATTTTGAGAGTTAAGCATGCTGCTTAGAATTTTTTTTTTTTAATTTGTTGATAAAAATATTTTTGGGAGTTATAATATAAACAAATTAGTGTAAATGGAGAAAAACACGGTTTAAGCATCTGGTTCAAAAAGCAAAAAAAATATGGACAGTACAAATGCTTTTGAGTTTTGATAGTTATATTGTAGATAAATTAGCATGTTTGCTATATCCACTCCCAAACAGTAATTTTGGGAGTTGGATTGCCGAAAATGCCCTCACACACACCCTATGTTTTGGTTTGGGAGAAGGGCAGTTTAGTCCTCAAACACCCCCAAAGTTACTGTTTGGGAGTGTGAATAGTTGGACCCATAAATTAGTATGAAAAAAGCAAAAAAAAAAGACTTATTTCGATTTAGAAAAAAAAAATACTAGTTAAAGTGTTTGCATGATATTAATGCCTTGGTAAATTAGTCCCTAGCTCACATCTTCAATAATTCTATGTTAGTCCCTCGAATCTCAATAATTGCTCATTAGTCTCTCAAATTTAAGCGGTCTTACAATTTGGTCTCTCCATGACGAAAATAACTCATAGTTATATGATTTCTCTTTTAAAAGTCATTTGGCTCAAGAAGATGATTAAAATTTGAGATGGATTTTGATGAACAACACCAAGCTATAAACCTCAATAGCTTTAGTATATAGATAAAATATTAAACTGGGTTAAGATTGGTATTATTTTTCTAAGGTTAAATTTGCCATTTAAACTAGTTTCGTTTTGGACCACCTGCTCAGTTGGTCTAAAGCAAAAACTGTTTGTTTAAAAGAGAGCTAGAATTACCCCTAACTCAAATTTAGAGTAGTTGTCAAACACACCCTTAAGATGGTATGCAAGAATTTGAAGGAGTATGAATTCTATCAAAACACCTACATAGAACAGTGGAATCTTTATCATTAACGAGTGAATAGAGAGGTAGTTTGAGAAGCTTAGCTTTCTTCTTATGGTTGGATGGTTCTAATATGGTTTGCATTTCGGTCCAATTCTATTTTTTTTGCTTAGTCCAATATAACGGGCTATTAGTGAAGCAAAAAGGAAATAAAAACACTATTTTCTAGTAAATCCCATAGAGCAAAACTATTGACTTCACATATTTATAATACATGAGAATTCTTGCAATCTACTCTTTAAAATAAATACATGAGAATTCTTCCAATATATTTGTTAAAATAGATAACTGTTATTTTAAAAGAAAACACAAACTTTAACTTTACAATCATGGAAGAGATCTTGCATAAATGAAAAAGCAACAATTTCCTCCAGAAATGAGATAGGAATTAACATAGTGATTATTCATGTTTCTCCATGGTATCAAAAATATGGAAATTTTAACAAGAATTGAGAGTTACAATTTATATTTATCATGTTTATGTGGGTCGAACACCATTTTTATGTGTTGTCTACTCATAATATGTTTTTTGATAATTCCCTTGAAATATGAAATAATTATATATATATATATATATATGGCTAAACAGATAGTAAATGTGCTTAAAAGCCTTTCTCTACTTGCAGAATTGGTTATACGCGGGCCTTCTCAGAAGTGGATGTGGCCTGTCACCCACTTTGAATTGCTGGATACATGCGTGTATACTGAAGATATGCCTAAACAAGGCGACTACTATAAGTCCATCCAATGAAAAAAATAAAATCATGTTTGGTTATATATAGGTTTAACAACCCATATGTTATTTGTTGCTTCTGTGTTTCTCTTTTAGGGGATGTTGGTTCACCATATATTAAGGGTCTGTTTGGTTCACCAGTTTATAGAATAGGATTAGTAATTGGGGTCTGACAGTGGCAATTTGGATGTTCTGCAGATGGCAGTCACAATAAAGCTTCATATCCTGCAGCATCTTCTGATGATCATTATTCATGGTCGGGTTTGGCAAATTGAAGACAATGGGAATTGTATCAAATGCCTGAAAATGAGAGGTGCTTGCGTTAGTTGGTGAGCACTCAAGGGAATGTTATAGCCACCATGGCCCTCTTCTAGCCGTTGCTCACAGTGTTCTGTCATATTTTTTTCAAAATCTTGGATTTTGTAAGCCTGAAATTTGATCCCGTTGCTAACAGTGATGTCCAGCCAAAAAAGGCGTATTTATGACCTCCTTCTAGCCGTTGCTTACGGGATTTTGTTGAATTGATACAAAGGACTAACTGTGCTACAGGTGTCTGCTCCCGAAAAAAGAGATTTTTTTTGAAGCAAACATGCTACAGGAATCTGGGACCATTTCTATAAAAGTTGGATTCTAATCCACAAGGTGAACACAACATTAGAATCCAAAAAGAATGAGGATTCCATAAAACTATAACGTTATTCTATAAAAATTATTCATGGATTTAGGTGTTTTTTGCTTGGACGTCGGCATTTTGGAACTTCATCAGCTAGGTAAAAATTTTTGCCCTCTTATTTTGACTTATTTCTCCAGTGATTTGAGGAATTACTTGTAATTATGAAACAACCACGAAATAGAATAGGATAGCAATTTCAATGTTTTAAGAGATTAATTTCATAATCTTACAGTAAAACAATTCATGCGGGTGTTTGTGTACTGGATTTTGTTGTTAATGTGCAAGAATTATGTTGTTAGATAGATAAACGACATGAAAATAGAATAGAATTTATTTTTCTATTTTCGCTTTCTTGCACAAATGTTTCATAAATCTAAATAAGGTCCTCAAATAATTAGTTAAAATTGTGGGTTACTGAAATTGATGATTTTTTT